GGAAAAAGAAAAAGTAGGGTAAGGTAAAGAAGATCACCATAATGACCAGGAAGGGTGTGGGGCAAGTAGGAGTATTAAATAGGAGAACAACTGAGCAAAAAATTGAGGACAACAGATTTAGCCAAGTGAGTATCTTAGTGAAGGGTATTCTAGGCACAGGGAACAGCTCGAGGAAAGCCTAAAAAGTACTAGGAGATGGGGCCAGGCGCAGTGGCTCACACCTATGATCCCAGCACTTTGGGAGGCCGAGGCGGGTGAATCACAAAGTCAGGAGTTCAAGACCAGCCTGGGCAACATAGTGAAACTGCATCTCTACTAAAAATACAAAAATTAGCTGGGCATGGTGGCAGGTGTCTGTATCCCAGCTACTTGGGAGGCTGAGGCAGAGAATTGTTTGAACCAGGGAGGCAGAGGTTGCAGTGAGGCGAGATCGCACCATTGCACTCCAGTCTGGGTGACAGAACAAAACTCCATCTTGAGAAAACACACACACATAAACAAACAAACAAAAATACTAGGAGATGAAGTCAGTGATCATGTGGGACTTGTAAGCCATTTAAGGAACTCTTGTGAATAAAATGGGGAGCCACCTTGGGATTTTGATCAGCAGAGTGTTTTGATCTAATGTTTTAGGAGGTTTCCTCTTTGTGCGGTGTTGAGACTATAGAGCTGCAAGCATAGAAGCAGGGAGACCTGTTATGAGAAACTATAGAAATGCCAACCATCTAAATATATCTGCATGCATTAAGGGGTACTGCAATGATTTTGAGCATTGTGAAACAACCAGCTTTTGTAGTGGAGTACTAGGTTCTTTCAGTAAATTCTAGTGAGGTAAGTATTTTAGTTTGTGCCTTTAGATATACCTCCTAATACTTATTTACTAGATTACAAGTAGCCCTTATGCATATGTAAAAATGAAAGTCCACAGACTCATAGGCTTCAAGGGCCTATAGGAACTGCAGAAAGGACTTGCAGTTTTTTTGTTTGCTTTTTGTTTTATTTTTTGAGACGGAGTCTTGCTCTGTCACCTAGGCTGCAGTGCAGTGGCCTGATCTCCACACACTGCAACCTCTGCTTCCCATGCTCAAGTGATTCTTCTGCCTCAACTTCCCAAGTGGCTGGGATTACAGGCATCTGTCACCAGGCCTGGCTAATTTTTTGTATTTTTAGTAGAGACTAGTTTATTACCGTATTGGTTAGGCTGGTCTCAAACTCCTGTCCTCATGTGATCCACCCTTTCGGCTTCCCAATGTGCTGGGATTCCAGGCATGAGCCACTGCGCCTAGCCTGTTTGTTTTTTATTTATATTTGTTTATTTTTTTGAGAGGGAGTCTCACATTGTCGCTCAGTCTGGAGTGCAATGGCACGATCTTGGCTTACTGCAACCTCTGCCTCCCAGGTTCAAGCAATTCTCCTGCCTCAGCCTCCCAGGAAGCTGAGATTACAGGCGCCTGCCATCCTTCCCGGCTAATTTTTGTATTTTAGTAGAGATGGGATTTCACCATGTTGGTCAGGCTAGTCTCAAACTGCCGACCTCAGGTGATTCACCTGCCTCGGACTCCCAAAGTGCTGGGATTGCAGATGTGAGCCACTGTGCTGGCCAGCTGTTTTTTTAAGACAGAGTCTCACCCTGTCACTCAGGCTGAAGTGCAGTGGAGCAATCTTACTTAGCTCAGTGTATCCTTGAACTCCTGGGCTCAAGAGATCCTTTTGCCTTGGCCTTCTAGAGTACTGGGATTACTGGTGTAAACCACAGGGCCTGGCCAGGACATGCATTTTGGGATTAGTTTATAGCCTGTCAGGATCTTGAAAATTCAATGATGAAGGCAGCTGTTACTTATAAAGTTAAACAAGAATATTGCAGTTTCGACTCAACTTTAAATGTGTTCATACACTGAGGGACATGCCAAAGTAGAAGTTAATGCTGTAAAGGATAAAGTCATATGTGATGAAGATTTTAAGTAAAACACTGTGCCAGAACAAACAAAACACCTCTAAGATCCATATTGTAGAAAGAACAAAAGACAGAAATCTTGTGAATACATTTTACTTTCTTTAGTTCTGATCCTAGCAATCATATATCAAACTGGGGCAAGTGCTTTGAAAAGTAGTTCATTTATTATGCTAAAGCCAATTTTAAAATTCTATATAATGTATATTCTATGTAGTGATATATAAATACTGTTGACAAATTTTTAGTTCATGCAAGAGTGTGAATAATAGTGAAAGATAATTTTAAAAGACTTCCTTCCACTCTGAAGTAGTCCTTTTAATAGGAAAAACACATCTAGTCGTGGTAAAAACTGTAAAAAGGAAACACAGTAACAGTAACCCCACTCACTTCTGCTTCATTCCAGTTAAGAAGTCAGATGTTCCAGTGATACTGGCTCATGTCCATTGTATTTCATGAGCTGGCACTGTCTCCTGGCAGGTGAGGCATGGGTGGGGGTGCAGGGAGACACAGCCTCAGGCACTCAGCATGCTAACCATATGACTGCTAGAAAACAGTTCAGGGCCCAGGGGGTGACCCTCTACTGTAAAGGAAGCCAAAATTGTCTAATTTGTACCACAGCTTTGAAGTTCACGTTTTATAGACTTAAAATAACTAAACTATTTTAACTTCAAAAAGTTTAAACCTCTTAGCAGTGTGATATTCTGGCTTCTGGTTCTGCTTGGGTTGATAGTTGGCTGGGGGTGGGAAGTGGTGTTTGTTTTTTTCAAATCTGGCACAGAAATAGTTGAATAAGGTAGACTGTTATAGCCATTCCTTTTGATTATTTTTAGTTCTGCTCTCCTCTCTTTTAAAGGAGCAGTTAGTGTATTTTAGCAGCACTTAGGGTTTCCTAGGTAAAAGTCAAAGATACATGTATTTACTGATACCTGTCACTGTGTATGAAAATATGGATAGTAAAAGTCAATTTCAATTTCAGGTAGAAAAATTCTGTTATCCATTAAGTGTTGTTTTTAGTTGTCACTTTTTTTTTTCTTAGTTTGACACTTTTTTTTTCCTTCTCCATTATCTACTTTGTGATGCAAATAGTATAGTTCTCAACATTTGCTATACCTTAGTCACTTGGGGAACTTTCAAACAATATCCACAGCCAGGGCCCAACACCTGATTCATTTGTTATGTGGGTCTAGGTGGTATTTTAAAAAAGTGATCCAGTGAACCTTCAACTCAGATGACTGGCTCAAAAAAAAAAAAAAAAAAAAAAATGGTCCAGGTAATTTTAGTGTGCAGCTAGGGTTGAAAACTGGCATGGTTTCAAAGTGGATTAAAAATATCTAGGTTCTAGTTCCAGCCCTGCTACTTACCAGCTGGCTGTTCTTGGTGGTCTTCTGTTTCCCATAGGATGATGAGGTTGGATTAGAAATTCATAAGAATTGTTGAACTCTAAAACAAAATTAAATAAACTGGGATTCATATAATTTGATCTGATTTGCTCAGCTCCAAAGAGATGAAAATGGAATTATCTGGAGTATGAGAGTGTTGTTTGAAACAAGTGAGTAATAATTTAAAAACAGCTCTTAAGTAAACTTTTCCCTCTTCCCAATTACAAGGCATGGGAGAAAATAAAAATAGACATTTAAGCTTAGAAATCACAGGAGACTTCCAGGGCTGCTTTGCCTATCCCCAGCTCTCTTAAATGGGGAGCTAGTCAGATGGTACCTGGGGAACAGAGAGAGGAGGGAGAGCGCTTACTACACACCAAGAAGGTAAATGTCATATAAACCTCAAAGGCTTTACGTTACTCATCAGCACACAATCTGACCTGGTACTAAGCAGCACACGTGTGGAAGGCTGGGTGGGGTGCGCACACACCCCAACTCAGTCACCTGCAGTGCTTGTCCAGGGCGCCCGGAAGAGCCAGCGAGCCTGCCTAGCTCTGTCCACTCGGACCCGTGCCACTCGCCCCGCCCCACTCCCTCTGGGAGGGCTCTCAGGGCGGCGCCCAGCCCGGCGAAGCGCAAAGGACGGCAGTGGCCACCTGCGTTCTCCAAACGCTGGTTTCTTGTCTTCCCTTTTTGTCCTCTTTCATTGAACCTATCTCCGTGCTACGAAAATCAGACTCTGACTCTAACCCGATCTCTTCGCGTCTCTGCCTCTTCTTTCTAGACTAGGGTGAGCGCCAAAAAGGGCCGGCCAGAAAGAAACCTTGGCCTCAGCATCGGCCCAGCCCCTCTCTCGGGACTATTCTAACTCCTTTCACCCTCCTAGCCTTTACTGGTCGCGTCAGGTTGGCACCCTCCCAGCCAATCCTAACTCTCCCCGTTTCTCCCCGCGTCCTCCCCTCAGGATCTCTCTGCATATTCTCCGCGTCAAGCTCGGTTTTCCACAACTTCCTCAAGCCCGGCGCCCGGCGCCTTGTTCCCGCCTTCGACACCACCTGCGTTTCCCACTCGCTGTAACGTCTCTCCCCTGCTGTCGCCCCTTGCGGGCCTCCAGCTCTCTCCCCCATTCCTGGCTCCCACCCCTGACACCCTAGGGACCCTTCTTCCCTACTCACGTCCTCCCTCCTTCCCGCCCCGACACTTCGGGGGCCCTCCCACCACGCGTGCTCCATCTTTCTCCTCAGGGCCTGACACCTGGGCGACCCCTCCCCGGCACCTGCCTTCAGCCCCAGCCCTGACTCCACCCTCACGCTCCCCGCCCCTCCCGGTCCCTTATGGGCCCTCACCTCCTCCCCACCAGCCACACCTGGCACCCCTGACCCCACCCCGGCTCACCCTTCTCTCTGCTCCCGACACCTCAGGCGCCCCCTCACACGCACGCATTCCCCACACTTCCGTCCTCTAGAACTCCGGCGCCCCCCGCCCCCTTCACGCTCAGTCTCTCCTCCCTCCCCGCCTGGCCCGGGCCCCAGCCCGGAGGTCGCGCTCGGGGAGGGGCGGCTGCCGCCTGTGGGGTGCCCCGGCCTAGGCTGCGAGGAGGTGACGCGGCCCCTCGGGAAGAGCCCGGGAGGCGGAGGGGTGGAGGAGGTGCGCGCGGCGGCACTGAGCGGCGGCGGCGCAGGGAGCGCGGGCCCTCCGCGCCGACTCCATGGACCCAAGGGGCGGCGGCGGCGGCGGCTGAGCGACCCTAGGCTGGCGCGTGATGAGGAGGGGCCGGCGCCCGACCCCGCTGCACGTCGGAGCTCGCCTGGACCCGGGCGTTGGCACCCGATGGGCCCTGGCCCCGGGACTCTCCGCTGCTAGCCCCTGTCATTCCTTCTCCGCTTTTGCTTCTCTACTTTAGCTGGCGTGGGGTCTCCGGCCCCACGGCCCTCTTCCGGGCGTGCCTGGAGGAGTCCTCCCTCCGTGGCGCGCGGGAGCCCAGTGACGCGTCACCCGGCGGGACGGCTGAGCTGCTTCTCTGGGAAACCGTCCCCGCTTCCTCACGACCCTCTCCGCTCCCGCCTGGGTGCCTCTCGGGCCGGCGGTACCCGGAGGCTCGAAGCGACTTCCCGGGGGGCTGGTTCGCACGCACCCTTCCCCTCCGAGGCGGCGCGCGCGCTCCCGACCCCCGCCGCGGCCGGACACACTCGCGTCCCAGTCCGCCTGCCGCCCTCCCGCCTGCTCCCTCCAGTCACCCCACCCTTAGCTGTCCCCGCCACCTTACTCCACCACCCTCCCCCACCGCTCCGCTCACTCCGCGTCCCGGCCTCCGGCTCCCCTCTCCTTTGAACCGCTCACTTCACAGTCCTTCCGCCCCCGGGAAGAAGAAACATTTTCCGAGGCGCACTCCTCAGCCCTCCCTCCCCACGCGCTCGCCCTCCCCTCCCCCTGCTCTTTCTTGGGGGAGGGGGGCTGTCGCCTTGGATTGAAGGCCATTGATTTGTATGTATTTGTCCCAGCGCTGGAGGCTGCCCCAGCCGCCGCGCCGGTGCCGCCACTGCCACTGGAGTTGCCTCACCGCTTCCCTAGGGTGGTTCGGCTCCACCAAACATGTCGGCTCCTGTCGGGCCCCGGGGCCGCCCGGCTCCCACCCCGGCGGCCTCTCAGCCGCCTCTGCAGCCCGAGATGCCTGACCTCAGCCACCTCACGGAGGAGGAGAGGAAAATCATACTGGCCGTCATGGATAGACAGAAGAAAGAAGAGGAGAAGGAGCAGTCCGTACTCAGGTAAGGATCTGGCTCCATATTCCCGCCTCTCTCCCTGCCCTCCGCCCCCTCGGCCGCTGCCCTGCGGCCGCCTGCGCGCCCGGGATCACCGCCCTCCCTCCCGCCGGCGGCGCCCGGGCCACGAGGGCTGCGGCCAGCGCCGGCCGCCCGGGCTGTTTGCTGGGTGTCTGAGAGCGGGGGGTGTGTGTCGGGGAGGGAGGGCGCCGAGGCCGGCTGAGGTGAGGGGGGCGAGCCTTAGGGCGGTGTGATTTTCCCCGGCGCCTTTCCGGGTTTTCCCGCTGGTCAGCTTGGCTCTGGGGCCCCAGCGGGACTGGGGCTGAACCCAGGCTCTGCGCGTCTCCTTTCCTTTCCCGCCGCCTGAGCGCGGAGGCAGTGACTGGGGCACGGAATCCAATATGGCCGTGCACAGGTGCTCCCTGGCCGGACCCGGGCGAAGGCGCTCCGGCCGGGGATGCGGACGCCGCCGGGGACCCGTGGTTCCGTCTCCGCGGAGCCGCTCTGCCAGCAACGCGGGACAGAGCAGGGCTGCCCACGGTGGTTGCGGGCAGCAGGCGGCGGCGTGGGCGAGGCGCCCAAGCTCTGTCGCGTCTCGGGTGGGTGTGCGGCCGCCGCCATCTTCCAGCCCCTCCCCCTTGGCGAGTGCTAACACCCTGCACTCTGCTGCTCTTCCTGTTTGCAACTAGTAAATCTGTTTAATCCTGAAGAGACTCCAGTTCCTACCATCACTGCAGTTTGGGATGCTCCCTGCCTTGTGAAGTTCTACTATTCATGCTCACAGTCTTGGCAGCCCGGTTTTTTCCGAGGGTGGGAGGAGTGAAAACAGCACCCAGGCATCCGTTTACTGGCTCTGCAACTTCAGCACCAGGGAACTGTCCAGACAGGGTTATCTTTAGCTCTGAGACTCCTTTTCTGGTTAGTCTAGCAAAGAGATTTGTTTCTACAAGACTTGCTTTTAAATGTTTTGTGGTTATTTGATTTCTCAGTTACTTCATGAAAGAGGTTGTTTAGAAGACGTGTAACCTTTTTTATGTTTTCCCAGCTTGGCTTTTTTCTTTTTACTTGAAATGAGTTACTCACTGAGAGATTAACTTACACAGTGTATATACCAAAGGTGGGATGTTCTTTTGCGTTTTGTCAAGTATATGTTTCCCATATTCTCCACAGAAATATACAAGTGAAAGTGTGGAGTTCCTCTATGAAGGAACCAATACACTCTTCTACTCAGGTAAATTTTTAAAACATGTTGTTGAATTTAGTATTTCATGTACTTACAAAGGAACAAGTTTCGTTGTCAATCGGTATATATTTTCATATTTTAATGAAAAATACTACTTTAAATAATTTATGGTGACAAACATCAAATATTCATAAATCTAAAGATACTATTTCTCACAAAATGTTGAGGGACTAAAACAGCAAATATGTTCCTGACATAATAACTGAAATTAATAGTTTCTACGTGAAAGCTAGTTTCTGGGGTTGAATACTTATTTGGGAATGTTATTTATTAACAGCCTCCTGTGAAGGAGGGATGTGAAGAAATTAAGAGACTTAAGCAGTTTTCTCCAACTAATAGAAGAATAAAGCATTATTTTTAGAAGCTTTTTTGGGCATACTTCTTACTTTGCTTAACTTTATTTTGTATACTAACAATGCCAAGCTTTTGATGACTTGCAGTTTGATATTTAAATATATGAACTTATACCTTTTAGTATAATTGAAAAAAATAAATGTCTCCAAAATGATGCTCCAATAAAATGTAGTTTTATTTCTATGACTTACATATTTAAATATAAAATGTGTTTTTATTTCTTCATAGTATGCTAAACCTTAGTGTTTATTGGCTAGTTCACTGCAGTTCTATTTATTGTTTAATATAGAAATATAAATGGACTTTTAAGTATTGAATTAGGATTATTCAAAATGAACATTATATTAAGAAGAAGATGTAACAGAGTTTTTCAGATAGCTACATGTATATATTATATCTGTATGTAAACCTACATACTATTCAAATACATATAATATTTATATATTCATATTTCCATAGTTTAGAAAGGAACAAATGTTCTCTAAGTACATTTTCCATACAATCTATAAAATTGCATTGATGAAAAATATATATTTAGATTTATTTTAAATATTTATTTGCATTGCTACCTAACCTAGTCTTAGAAAGGTGTCTTATCTCAAAATGGCTTTCATGGTTTCAGAATTCTTGTTATATTTATTTTAACAAAAAGTTATTTGGAGGTTAAAGCATAATATATTTGGACATTTAGTTTTAAATGTTCTTAATTTTTTTTTAATGAAAGAATAGGCAAGGCATACGAGGAAATGAATAGACTTTATAATAGAATTATTGTAATGAGAGACAAATCATTTTGAAGAATTTGACAGTTTGTTAAATAACATATTATCAATATTGGGTATTAAATAACAAATATACAAGAAAAATAATACTAACCTTCTTCAATGATTACTATTTCCCATAAAGTTTTAGGGTCCACTTACTTGGTCATTACTATCCTTTGTTTCTTTTTACTGTTGCTCATTACATTGGGTGTTAACATGTATTCTAAGAGTAGAGAGAAAAAAACCCTGAAATTTAAATGCGTGTCTGCTGCCTTTTAACAATTATGTTAAAAAATATGTTTGATGTCTGAAGATACTGCAATGGTTAGATAAAAATATTTTTGCATGATCTATGAGTTTCAGTGTTCGTGTTAAGTATTCAGGCAAAGTGGAGAAAATAATGAATTTGAACCTTGTTAATATTTAATATATAGATGGACAATACTTAGATGCATATAATTTATAAGTAAATATGCATGTATTAAAAGATTGATGCTTGAGATATTTTTAATAAGACAACTGAGTATTTAAAACTGAGACTATTACTGTAATCTCTCATCTTAGGAGCTTGAATAATTTAAAATTATACCTAATTATTAGTAATTTAATCAAAGTCTAGCTGAACATCCATATAGGAAATGTATCATCATCAAATAATACCATTTTACATGTGAGCGACGTACTATAATTTTGCAAGCATTTAAAAATCTTAGTAGATCCCTGATCAGTAATTACTTTAAAAAATCCTTTCATGTATTCCTGTAGCAGTTTTAATTTGGCTAATTCAGTCCATCAGTAAAATTTATAATGTCTTTTTACTAATTAATTTTTTTCAATCTTTTTTCTAAGTATTTTGTTTAGAAATTTTTAGTATTTATCGCAGTAGTATCTGTGAAAAATATCTTTGTGCATACATTTCCTACTTGTATGAATGTGTATTTGAGACAGATTCCTAGAAACAAAGTTGTTGGATCAAAGGGTTAGTATATTTTAAAGTTAATAAATATCGCAAAATTTACTTTTGTAGAGGATGTATGTATAAGTGACATGTACTAAGGGGACTTTCTCACAACTTTGCCAACTCAGTGTGTGGTAATCTTTACCAATATTTCAACGAAAAAGGTGCCACTGTAGGCTTATTTGCAATTTTCTTGTCAGAGAGTTTGAGAGCAGGCTTATTTGCAATTTTCTTGTCAGACAGTTTGAGAGCCTTTTTTAAACAAAAAAATTTTGGTTAGAGCCATTTGTATTCCCTTTTCTGTTAGTGATTTTTAGTGATTTGTAGAGGCCCTTTTACATGTTATTTGTTTTAGGACCTTGTTTATGCCTATTTTACTGGTCAGGATTAAAAAATATATTTGCATTTATTGTATTTTTGTTTTATGGAGTTTGGGCTTGTGATCTTAGAATGGCCTTCCCTACTCTAATACTTTTAAAAACTACCAATTGAATGATGAATATTTTAAAATAAAAATTGCATATGTAAACCACTCTTGCCATTGCCAAAAAAATAAAAAACTGTAGTTTTTAAGGATTCAAAATACATTCTAAAAAGTTGATTAACATAAGAAAACAAGCAAACAAAAAAATTGATTTACATTTTATGAGAAAGTGCCCAATAAATTTATATATATTCTATATTTTAAAGTAAGGGAAATTAAATAACATCTTTCTTTTGACAATAGATTCTGATAAAGAACTAATTATATGGTGCGATGAAGAAAGAGGTAGTGGAAGCAAGTGTGATGGACCACATGTATTTTGACTTGATGCCTTACTTTACTAATTAATAGTGGTAATGTTTTGCTTATATTATTAAACTCTGAGTTTCCTCATCTATGCTATTTTAGTAATAACACTTATTTTGAATGATTGTGATTGTTATAGACTAAATATCCTGCTGTAAGTAGTTGTGCTGTAAATAATTATTGTTGTTAACTAATATAGATAGCACTCTTTAAACCTTAATATTATCATAGCATTGCTGGGTGAAATTTTCTTATTTTCTAAAAATTGAGAGAGTCTTTTCCTTGTCTATTAGGAAGTTAAAATATGCTTGGAGAGCTTTTAAGTGACTTCATTATTTGTTTAGAAGACTAGGGATGGGGAGAGTGTTGGTAACAACTTGAAAATAGTTTCCTCAGCAAATATCACTCTTAAGGAGTCTGATAACTAAGACATAACAGTGAAAGTAACACTGACGTAAAGTTATTGGTAATTGGCAAGATACTGATAGTCAAAGATGAATTGAGGGGACTTGTGGAAACTGCTTTGTAATTGACTATAGATTTGCCTGGGTTAAATTTTTTACTCTATTATTTGATTAAAATCTATATTTACTGATTTGTCTTATTCATATTTTATCTAAGAACCCAGAGGGCTGTATTAGGTTAAGCTAATTCTGAAATATGGTTATTGAGCTTAGAATGCTCATCTTCACACCGACCCTCAGATACACTTAAGCTTTGTATGATTGCTGGTTTCTCATCCTTTTGGCTTAGCTTCAAATTTGAATCTTTAGAGAGCTCTTTTCTGACTACTCTTTCTTAAGTACATTCTCTCCATTATTCTTTATAACAATACCTTTTATATTTCCCTAATTATGCTTATCAAAATTTATAATTATTTGTTCATTTACTTGTTTA